TTCTTTAAATATGTCCCTTTTTTCTCCTCTTCCATCTGTCCAATAAAGATTGTATAGCTGGAGTAAGAGATCAGGAGGAACTTCAAGATCATTTAGGCCACCACAGCTGTATGCACAATTTCATTATCCGAAATTAATTTAGACCATTTAATGCAATTTCTACTGAATGAGATGACATAAGCATCAAATCTGAGAAGCTGAGATATGAAAAAACCCAAAGAATACAAGCAATTTATGTGTTAACATTAATAAAATCATTCACACTCTTATCTTGCAAATTCCTTTACTGCTTTTATTGCCACCCCGAATCCCACAGCTGCAGTTGCATCTAGCAACCCTAGCTCAGGATCACTAGTTCAGTCAGTACTTGCAAGCATCGTATTTTGATTTTTGATCAAACGCATTCCCAAAAGCCAAATGCAAATGAACCTTATTTAAATTTTTAAATTGGAGCAATTAACTTGCTAAGCATTTCCCGAAAGCATGGAATGTTACAGCACTCTCAATTTACAGTACTTGTCATTTTTCAAACTAGCCTGAGCTGCACATTCACTTTCTAAATGAAGGAGCTTATTGCAGTTTAATTTAACAAATACCAAGGAATTTGCACCAAAGCTTATTTCAGACAAGTATTCTGATATCCTAAATAGAGCAGAAATGTCACCTTTACCAGTAAAACTTTTTGATGTTTTTTTTTTCTTAGCAAGTGACCCAATTCATGATGTGTATTAGAAAGGCATGTCCATATAGCTGTGTCAGCCAGGATTACAAGAGACATATCCCTATGAAAAACATGCAGGGAAGCAAAACCCTTTATGCTGTTACTGCAAGTTATCAAAAAACTGCTTTCAAACATCTGTCAGAGAAGTATAAGGAGACAGCATAACTAGCCTGTTGGCCCTGCTAAAATACTTATGCCAACAGAAACTGTGTGATTCAGGCATAGTTTAATAGATAACAGCAGAACTGGATTTTGCAAAAGGATTTTTTAATGTAACACCCTTCATTTGACCTTCACACAGACCTAACACCCTTAATTCTTCAGAATGACTGTTTCTGAGCATGCTTTCTTTGCCACGGGTGTGTCTATCCATAACATGCTAAAGAATTTATTTTTTTAAATTAGTGTGAATATCAGATGTAGTAACCATTAAGAAGAGTAGGATGGTGGGATTACTTTCTTTTTCAAAAGACAAACAGGACCACAGCACTGCGTAAATTCACCTATTTGTGGCTGAAGAGGGTGAGATGACTAAAAATCCCACCTCTTCACAAAAATAAGACAGTGGCAGAGGGAGCCTAGTTTATTCCTGGGCTGATGAAGCTCAGACAGGCCATCATTCCCCAGAGGTGGGAGCGGGCTTCAGGACATAAAACCTCACTGCTTGGTGTCCTACAGGTAGGACTTGCTCAGGAGCAATTTTTTGGATTGTTGTGCTTTGTCTGCAAGCTGTGTTCCAGCCCATGCTCTGCACCAAGTTTTGTAAGGGCTTTATAAAAAACAAACATCATGAACTGGTGAAGGCTTGGGCTTTTTGTTTGGCAGCTGGACAAGAAGGAACAGAAAGTGAAGAACTAAACAGCATGAGGAAGCTAAGGAAAGCCAGGAGGGCAGGAAGATGGAAATAATTTTCATAGCAAAGGCACCAGTTTCGGTAGTGGGACTGTGTAGTGTCTTGGCTGACATGAGCAAGAGAATTCACTTAAAACTAATGTTTTAGGTGGTTAGATCCAGCTGCAGTGTCAGCCTGTGCACACAGCCTACCTTTTCAGACCCTTTTCTGTTCATAAGGGCAAAACATAGTAGGAATTTTAAAGCAAGACTGACGGGCAAGATAATGACAGCAAATTCTGCCCTTTCAAAATCACGGAATACCCAAATTACATAATAACCTGAAAACATAAAAAACCCACGATGCAGACTCAACTAATGTGAATTTATTTATACAAAAATGATACATATCCACAGGAATATTTACAACAACTTTAAACTGTTTTAATTTACAAAATAAAGACTCTATTCTTTCATTTAGACAGTACAATTTAGGACTGCTCCAAATAAAAGCCTATTTGGATGGTAAATACAGGGGACAGCAGTTATGGAAAACAAATACATTGACTGTGTCTTTCCAAACATCTATTTATATTATGATGTAATATACATAATCAAGTAATCACGTTTCCACACACAAAAAATATTTAATAAAATGTGTTCCATAGCTGTTAGCTATCCATTTGTTTTAAGTCCTTTGGGCACAAAAAATAGTTTTAAATTAAAGAGAATTCAGTATCCTAGATAAATTTATCCAAGAATAAAGATGCTAGAACTATGCTATTGTTTGTCTCATACTCTACTATCCAATCGTAAATTAATTACGAACTATAGATTCTTGTAAGAGGTAGCCAGCTGTTTAAAAACTTCTGGTCTTGTTTTAGTGTTTAGTCAAATCAGTAAGTGAATACTTTACTTTTGATGGTAATGAATCAAAATGGGAGGCAAGCTGGAGAAATAGAGTAAGTTTTAAAAGCAACCATCTGAAAGTGTTCTGAAAAATGCCAGTGTTGTGGGTTCTTTATATGACACAAAGCACTAGTGCTGGAGAAAGAGGAAAAGAAATATTCAAACATGTTTACGAAGAGTTTATTTCACACAGAATTAGCAATATTGTACTATTGTTTTTAAGGCTCCATTCCAATCTATTTCTGTCACAGAAAGATTTTTTGATTGATCAACTGCTTCTGGAAGATGTCCTCGGATTTTTACAGAACACTTGAAACAATTTTCTCACTCTGCACCAAATCCTTGAGAGGTAGTTTGATGCCACACGTGAGGCAGAACTCGGGCACCTTATTCAGCATATGTTTTGACGTTTATTGCTCTATTTTGCAGCAGGCAGATCAAATATCAAATTTAAATGAAATTAGCTTGCTCTTAGCCAAATCTCCAATTCCTTTGCCGGTTCATGGCTTTCCAACTTCGTTGGTGTGTAGTCCCTATAAAAATATTAAGAAGCTCTTCCCTTTGATGAAATCAACTGGAAGAGCCACATCACATCTATTTTACATTGGTATCAGTTTTGTTTTGGATGCAATAAAAACTATGTCAGAAATCATCCTGAAGCGACTTGCTAATAGCTTACGTGGCTTCAGTCAGCAGCTAGTTTTGAAAATTAAGTAAAAGCCCTTTATATATAATAAGAGAAAAATATTAATTCATCATGTGTGTATTAAAATAAAAGGCTTTGATCAGACTTCCACCGAATTTCAAATGCTATCTGGTCAAATCTGTAGCATTCATGAGGGAAGCCAGATCTACAGCCTTAAGTCCCTGATTCAGAAAGGTACTCTACTGAAATGCTCAATGAAATTACCTGTATTAAGCATTAGGCTTCTAAGCTTGCTACTAACTTCACGGAAGCTCTGGAAAATCAAGCTTCTTCGGAGCTATGTTAGTATCTGAAACCTGATCTTGAGGTATTTGAGGGAATAAGAGAATTTTGGTTTGCATTTTCATTCTTGGCCTTTCTGTGATGACTACTAACTATTCTACCATCTGTTCTCTTGCCTTTGTTGAGGCCATAGAATAGGTATTAACATGGATTCAAACTATTATTAAGTTAATTGCTCTTAATTCTGTTACCACAACTAGCTTGATTCAGAGGACTACTGAGAAGTGTTTCATACAGTAAAATTAACTGGCTACATATGCATCACATTTGACATAAAAATAGTTTCCTTTCACGTGTTTTTCATAGTTCTAGTTCCATTTATGCTATTACAGTGTTAAAAAGTTTTCAAAAGTTAAATAGGATAAATGCACCAGAATCATCAGTAAATATTTCCTAATGAGGTATACCGACAATTTTCTTAAAGAAAAAAAACTCAAACACCTAGAAGTGAGTTGTGTTTTAAAATGTCAAACAGAACAAATCATAGTGTAAACAAAAGGTATTTCAAAGAATGGTATGCATTTCAATGCTATCTGCACTAAAAAAAAAAAAAAAAAGCTGTGTTTTCTTAGTATGGCAATTCCAGTTTAAACAATATTTAAATATATAATAATTTTTTTTGGGGGGGTGCATATATTTAACGTTCTTTGAACAATAGTTAGTGCAGTGTTTCATACTGTGTACAGAACTCATTTGACACAAAGCTTTGAAACAAATAAGATATTTCATCTTTTCCCTGTATATCAAAAATGTATTTTTTATTCTGCTGTAAATTACCATTGGAAACATACAAGAAAAATATATCCTGCAATTGTTTGAAGATAGCTCATTTAGTCTCTTTGGTATTTGTAGTACTGTAAAAGCTCTAATGCCTTATCTCTGTAATTGCAAAGTCTGTTTTAAAATATTTTTCCCTTTTCTCTTTTTCAGTAATTGAACTGTACTTGCAATTGCTTCTGTGATACAGAACTTGTTGTACTATTTTAATGTACTGGTATGCAAGTTTTCAACTGCCATTCAAGCAAAAGAGCAGCAATATTATAGGACTTCTCATAAAGGAGTTTACATAGCCAAGAAAGATCCCAAACCTTTGAAATTCCTATTCTGGTCTTGTTAAATTGCAAAGTGAGCATCAGCAACTCAAGACCTATACACAAATCATGTGGAACTGTACAACTGCAACAGTTTTGTTTTGTGTTTTGTTTTTTAAAAAAAAGCACAAACTTTAGGAATACGTTGACCAACCAACTGCCATTATGAAGACATGGGCACATTGGACCTCATTGCAGACCTCACAAATAATTCTGACCATTAAAGTAAACATTGGAATTTAATAAATAACACATTTTGTATCAACACAGAAATACACATGATTCTTTAAAAAAAATATTACCTTACACTAAAAATGCAACAACTCCTAATCCTGACAAATATACAGTTTTGTGTAGGTTGAGACGGCAGGATTCTGTCTCTTTGAACAGCTGCTGTACTCTGTTTTACCACCATCCTTGAACATTTTCCTTTGAACTTGCAGACACGATGCTGACACTGCTATAATATGGTGCCTTCCTGAAAAGCTTCTATCCACCTATTAGAAAATTGAACACTGTTAGGAAGTTGCTGGTAAAAGTATAAATCACACTGCTGTGACTAGCTACAGATTCACACAAGAAGTAACATCATACTTCCATTACCAGTTGGCCTGTTACTGCAAATGCCAGAAATCTATCGGATGAGTCCAAACATACAAAGCTTGCCAGAGACGCATTAGGTATCAGTACAAGGCCAGACAAACTTTTTTCTGTACCTCTTCCATACTGAAGTTACATGCATAAAGAACAAGTCAAGCTGGGGAATCAAATGCTCAAAATGTAGGATACACCAAGGTTCTGCCAACTTTAACAACATGATTGCATACCTTTTAAAAAAACAAATACTCCCTTCTCTTATTTCACTGCAAACATGATCTGGGATGAATCAGGAGGGTACTAGAACTGAGGCAGCCATCTGCATAATCCACACCCTTGGCTTTTGCAGCTGATACAAGGGTGTTAGTGAAGGACTAGTGGGGCTGAGGGAGGAAGCCACAGGGCACATGAGCTGGGGTGCAGGAATGGTGCCTTTGCACGATGACAACTTCCCTCTATTCACACACACAAAATGTGCTACTACTGAGTCACACATTAACAGATATCCTGCACATTATAACTGTGAAAATACAAGTATCTGTAAAGGGCGGTAAGTCCCAAACAGCTGATCCCAGGTGTCTCAAACTGGAAATTCGAAGTTGATATGCAGATAATTTTAACAGACATTGGGTCTTCCTTGCCCTGCATACTTAACTTGGTAACTGTGTGCGTGTTCTTTGAATTTAAGCTTTTGGTATGAACATATTCAGCACGTGTAAGTGCTTGTGCCCATCTGCACACACAACTCAAACTTCTATTCCATACTTTTCAGAGCTCACTCTATTTTCCACTGCCATATATTCATTAAAGTAATTAAATGGAATACAAATAGAGCAAATTCATAAACAGCTTAAGCACTGAACATAGTACTGGACTGACAAATTTCAAAGCTCATCAAAAAAGTAAACATCTGTACTTACACAAATACATCAGGTATGTCTTTGGCCCTAACAGGAAAAAACAGTGTCCACTGATGAAAACAGGCCAACAGCATGTTCTTTGTATTTTTCTTTTAAAGCTATCAAAGCAGCATTTATTCTGGAGGTTCAGCATAAATCTCCTGAGGATATTAAATACTTGGAGAAATTTTGCAATTGAGGTACTTAATGTTATTCCTAGCCTCAGTAAAAGAGTATGTCCAATTTCAAGTTTTCCTACTGATGACAAAAGCCACTGTCTGAATAGGAAAGCAAGGCCATGCAATGCCTTGTATTTTTTTAGGGTGTTTTTTTAATATATCACAAATGAGGACACAGTGGAAACATCTTAATTAACAAGGAAACATTTGTGTGCATCTGCAAGACAAAATACCCCCAGAAATCACATTAAGACTTGCAGAATTTGTGTGTAGAGAAGTGTCACTAAGCACGTTCTCAGCTGTTCAGAATTTTCAGTTGTCCTGGGTACTTTGTTTCTTAGAATATCCCTATTTGCACAAAACTATACCTGCAGCCATTTGAAGGCTTAAGTATTAATAATGGACTAGTCAGTGCATGAAATCTGTTTTACTAATGTAAAATTCACTTGGGAAAACTGCAGTGAAACCAGTCAGATAAGCTAGGCATATAGGCAAGATAACTTAAATGTATTGCTGCCATGCTCATTTCTAGTTTACTCCATGATTCATATATCATATGTTTTCTACTGATTAATGACCAAGCTTCTAGGTTATTTTATGTAAAACACACACAATATATAAATTGGTAAGTATGTCTCCAAACTCAAACACATCAGCAGGACTTGAAAAGAAGCAGCTTGTGTGAGTGTGCTTTGAATTCAGACTTGTGGTCTGAACACATTAAGCATGCCTATGTGCTCAGGCACATCTCCACACACACTTCAAGCTTCTGTCCCTTGCTTTTTAGTGTTTGCTTTATTCTTCAATAACTAAAATAACTAAAATTTAGAGCTGGAAATTATAAAAAGAACACATCAGTTAATTCTTATATTTTCTGGATTTCTCCAAAGGCAACATTCAATTTTTCAGCTGAGCAGAACAGGTATAAAGGAATGGGCTAGGAAAAAGAAAGATTTCTTATTTTATCTTAGATTTTTCTATTCTCCTACATTCTTTTGCAGAGGACAGTCTGCTTTTTTATTTAAAGCACCTCAAAAGTCCTAATGAAACCAGGAATTAGTAATTAAAGTCTTATTTACATATTATATAATGTGCATCTTTTGTATACATGCTTCATCTGTGGATATTAACATTCATGACTTCTGAAACATTTTCTCGAAAAAAGTAACACATTAATTCAAATAGTTTCTTACTTTTGAGCTGAATGGGGATCATCTGCTTTGAATATGTAAAATAAAGTGTTTTTGTGCAGTAAATGGAACACTCTAGACTCTGAGTTTTCATCTTTTACTTCACTGACTGTGAATCCAAGTAAAGGCTGGCTCTCTAATGCTGCCACATCCTATTTCACAGAGGAAAAAAAAGCAAACAAGGCAAAATTAGAGCTTGTAAGACATACTAAGGACTGCATTTAGACTTTACTCATGCACCATACCATTGGAACAGATTATACAACAAACAAGTTGTTACAAATAGTCATGCACAAAATGCTGCTTTTTATAGTCACCATGCATGAATCAGGGGACAGGAAATAACAAAACCTCATAGACTTCAACATTGCTCTTCCTCTTTTTATTTCCCTGATAACACGTACCTTGTCTTTCACTGTATAGTCTCATCATTCTGCCTAGTAAGGACTTCTTAGATCAAAAGATTGACTACCACCTGTCAGTAGACTCAAGGTCCATCTAGCCCAGTGCTCTCTCCAACAACCTTAGTAGTAAGTTTAAAAGTGATATGGAATGCTGTTAGCTGCACTGAGTATCTAAAAGAAGGAGCTATGGACGTAACCTATGTTCTCAAGCAGTGGAGTCACACTAAATGCTTCTGATAGCTAAACTTATTTTGCTTTCTGTTGCTGGAATTAACAGGATAGAGAAAAAAAGTTGTGGAGTGTTCACAAGTGGTTGGCTAGGTAAGAGCAGCAAGACAAACTGTACCTTTTTACCTTCTCTTAATTTAATTTCAAAAACTGACTAAAAGGCAACCTGTTTCCTTCCTCATTCATCTCAATTACTTCCTTTTTTTATACTCTTGTATTTTAATTAATGAATACAATGCACAGCATTTTTGGAGGAAAAAAAAAAAAGTATTTTCATCCCGTGCAAATTCCAAAACAGTGTTTTGTAACTAGGCAGGGTCCTGCAATGCTTCTGGACAGAAAAAAAAAAAAAAACAAAGAATGTACATAAACACCGACACATCAGGTGAAGACTTTGGCAATTGCCTCTACATTGAAACGAGTATCCTGTGAAAGCAGCATCTCCTGATATTGGAAAAGTCAAGTAAGGCTTAGCAATCTGTTTTACTATCTTAGGTCTTCGTACAACTAATAAGTGGTCTTTTTACCACTGATCTTTGTATCACTTGGAACTAATATAAGCAGCTTAAGTGGGGTTTCCTGGCTAAGACCACACTGGACCTTCCCTTGAGATTCTCTAAACAATATCTCTTGCAATGGCTCATCAAGGTGAAAAATAAGGACAGATATTCCTTAGTTTAAAGAAAATAGGAAAGAGTTAATTTTGTGATTGCAAGCTGCAAACTGAAGCTACTCTGGAAGCTATTCTGGATATCTCAGAGGAAGCCAAGAAAAAAAAATAAGGGGACTGTCACAGACTAATGTACCTTTCGTTTCAGTTGCCAAAGTCTCCTTTGCAACTGCCAGAAGAGACACAATGCTCTAAAGTATTTTTCAAATCTTTGCACAAGTAATTGTTTTGTACATAATAATTTAATATATTTTTAGAACTACTTGTTTTTTTAGTATTGCCAATGCTGTGGTGGAAATAACATCACAGGTTCTGGGCATAATTCAGAAGTTCTAAAATAAAGGTTGCCACTGCAGCAGGAACAACTCGGGAACAAATCTGAGCACAAACCAGGAAATAACTGGATAGCGTGAGGGTGAAGAAGGGTAATTCTTTACATGGTCTGGACAGATTGGGCCTTACATTTTGAAAGAAAATGAGGGATAACAATACCTTTAAACAGATGCTTTGGATATTTTGTTCTTGAAAGCTATTAGCAAACTACAACATACAATGCAAAAAAGCGAAACTCAAGCTCTTCCAGTGCTACAATTTATCCCTGTATGTTGCAAAACATTACAAAATGCAATCAAACTACATCCTCAGCACATGCTGGGATATGCAGAGTTTATATATATTGGTTAGAGATTATTCCACACTGTAATAGGACTACACATTCTAAATAAAAAAGCAAATGCCATTAGATAAGATGCACTTCTTTTTTTTCTACTGCAGCACTGTATGTTAAATATCTCCAGGCTGAAAATGACAGTTTGAGGAGAAGTAAAGAGATTTAGTTTGCTCATTTTCCAAGCATTCAAAATACCTTATGGAACTGCAGAACAAGATACTTCAAGATGCATTTATAGTGTTGATTTTTGCCACTAGTCCTGTGTGACGCATCCAAACAGACCCCCATGTATTCAACTGACTCAGAACCTACCTACAACTGTGCAATGATGTGCAGTGCAGAGGTACTCAAAGCTAGGTCTGGAATCAGAAGCAGCATAGCTATATCAGCGTATTATGGTACCAAGCTCACTGGGCCTTTTCAAAATACTACATTGCAATCAGATCAATTACCGTAAGATGATATAATTTTATAGCTTGTTTCTAAATCATAAAAATAAACAACTTCGTTATAAAGACAGTATTAGTATTGGATATTTGATTTCTTATATTTAGTCTCTTACCTCACTAGCAGCATATGTGTATAGCACCTTATTTTTTATAACAAACCATAGGTGTTTCCATGGTTTCTTACTGCCCTTAGATCTGTGTAGGTAGCCACTCATTGTAGAGTCTTCTGTATTTGCTGAAACCTGAAGAGAAAAAAAACAACCACCACCACCAAGCCCCAAGAATACATACGCATCTCTCCAGGTTTTTGTGGCACTTTTTTTTTTTTAAAAAAAAACCAGATCTCCAGAGCCCTGTCCTGTCAAAACCTCAAATTTGTACCTGATCTCAAGGTAATGTTGCTAATTAACTCAGATGGCTGAAAGAACAGCAGTTCTGTCTGCCACCATCTATCTGGTCTGGAAGAGAGGTTTCTGCAGTCACTAAGGCTTGGAACTTAAATTGGATGCAACAGGACAAGAGAGGGCTGAAACACTGAGGACCATGTACAGCTGGAGAACACATATTCCTATACAAGAAGGAAAATTACTTCCTCCCATTCCAAAGACCTCCAGCATAGGTAGGCAGAGTTTAGCTCTACCTTTCCTAATCATAAGTCAAGAGCTGAGTTGGTGTAGGGGTCTTTTCACTGACTGTTGGTGCAGAGGTAAATCACAATTCCTTGAATCACAGGGAAGCAAGAAAGAAATTACGATTCCTACTATCTCTCCGAATCACAGTCTCACAGGTGTTTACGCAGTTTATACACTGCTTCATAGTTCAGGTCCCTGCCTACATAAACTAAGGCCCAAACCACTGTTACAGGAGAATTGCAATTGTTGATTCTAGAGAAGATATCTAAAATATGGAATTATTTTTTTCATTATTAATATGAATGATATAATACCAACAAGGCATTACTTTTGACCAATAAAGCACTTACTTCTTTGAGGGCTGCAGGTATTTTTTTCTGCTTTCTTCCAGAAGGAATACTATGTAATACTGTGGACAAGGCACTTGATGGAGATTTATGGTTGACTGGAGATCCGCTCTTAGGAGTGCACTGGTTATCTAAAATGCATAGGATGAATACATTGCTTTCATGTCACAGGTGACTAAACACAGGCAATGATTCTTGGACTTTTTCACATTAAATTCAGTGTTGAATTAACTTTTCAGTATTATCAACACCATGTGTTAGAATCCCCCATATTGCAAATCAGACTGAAAAAAAACCACAACAAATTTAAAACTAAATGGATTGGTCTTGTTTGCTTTCAAAGTCTGTTTTATTGATGTTGAACTGCCTTTGCCCATAAGCAGGGTGAAAATTAAGTCTTAAAAAACACATCAAAAATTTTTAGAGCTGTCCTCTGCAGTTCAGCCAGTGCTTTACCTCTGTTCCCTAACTCTGTCCTTCAATTCTATACATCTGTTATCCTCTCAGCTTTTTTCAGTATGGATGCTGTCAGGCTCCTCTTTCAGCATCATGCCATCACACACACACTTCTGGAGATTCCCATCTCCAGAAGACGTGCTGTCTTTCTCCACTGCTGCAGGCAGTTCTTTCATGTCTCTTGGAAGACTTCTGCAACACTTCACTCCTTCAAAACCCCCTGTTCTAGCAACACCTACAACTATTTTACAGCCCAGCCTGGAATGAGTAGCTCCATTAAGTCTACTTCTAGAGTTGTCCCTGCACATAGTGAGGCTCTGAAATAACGAGCAGAGCAGGAGAGTAATTGGATTGCCAGCTGTACTGCACCTCTCTGCAGCTCTCTTCCCAGCTACAAGCACCTGCAATTGCCTGCAGCACAGCAGCCTCTAGTGCCCAACGCAGACACCTGCAGTTAGTCCAGACATTTTGCCTTCCCCATCATCGCAGGCTCCCACCACCACTTCCAAGGGTTCTCAAGGCTGCTTTCCACATCCCCATGACAAATACCACCCCCAGCATGCTAGAAGCCATAGCTTGATTATTTCACTGGGGCATCACAGATTTCCCAGTACCCTAGAGAGCTTCGGTCAAACTAGAGACTCTGCCAGAGGGAAGAGCAGCAAACTGTTTCAGTCTCTGCTTATGGCTTATTTGTGTATTTTATAGTAGAGTCTTTGGACAGAATTCAGAGCAAGTCTGGTGAGAAGGAACTGGATTCCTATTTCACTGGGGGGTGCCCCCGTTGATTTTGCATTGGTTTCTGCATAATGATACAAAGCTCCTTCAAAGAGACAGATTTGAGTTCCCTCAGGATGAGACAGAAACTGACCCTGAACCTCCTCTCTAAGCAAGTGTTATTACCACCATGCATCAGTAGTACCACATTCTCTGAAGGTGTTTCAATGCTAATAGCTCCAGCTGTGGTGTTTTACACTGACATCCACCTTGCCAGTGTGCAGTAGGCAACGGTTCGGAGTTTGCCCTCAGAACCAAGGTGCAGATTTGCCAGCTGCTTGAATTCCAGATGAGCTGATCCTTGAGACTGAAAAGACTCAGCTTCACTAGGATGAAGGCCTGTGTCTTTATAGAGCCCCAGATCTCAGCAGCTTAGCTGGCAAAAATGAAAGTTACAGGCATACATGTTACAGAGAGTGAAAGTACACGTGAACCCACTGGGAGGTCATAAGCTGCAAGGACTTTAATGTACACTTGTACCCTGTGATTAATGAAAGCAACATAACACTAGTTATCTCAAAAAGAAAGCAGCGTAAGCTACATGTATATCATTATTGTTGGGCAAATGTGCATGTTTCTGGAAGGAAGAGCCCATGTATTGCAAATTCACTTCCTGGCTTACTCCACAGAGACTTGTTTGGGCTCTTACAACCTCAGATGCCTATCACTTTTCAGGCACTAGGAAAATTAGGCACTTGAACTCAGTAGTAAAGATGAGGCACAAACATACCATGTTAATAAGGGCCATAAAAATAAGACATACAGTATGAGTAGATTTTCTTTACCTTGTTTCTGTAGCTCCCTGAAGCAATGATCACATACTCTTGCTGGCTGGTTTTTCATATAGTCTAAACCATGTTTATTTGATGAACAAGCTTGGCAGACAATCTGCAAACAGATAAAAGCATTATTGTACATGATGTGCACCTGTAAATCACCAAATGCTCAAAGACATTCACCGCAGTACTGCCAATCCCATAAGAGAACCTGAAATAGGTGCTATTTTACACTAAAAATGGTTTAAGATCTTGGCTTTTCCTTACGTCCTTATGTTCAACATCTTTCCTCCTCCTCTAAATGATAAAAATTTAAGTAGAAGAAAATCACTGAATTACACAAGTCGATAAACCAACATCAACAATCCATGAAAAGCAGAATAAGCCTACTGTGTTACTGAACTGTTTAAATCATAAGCTTATAAAGAAATAACTAAAAATAGTAATTGCTCTCTTGACAATTTCTCCACAACACAGATGTCTCAACTGCATTGAATTCTGTATTCTCACTTGATTAAAATAAGAAAAATAAAAATTATTAGATATACCTTTCATAAGTGTTAAATATAAAATAAGTTTGGTACTAACCTAAAAACAAAATCATTACTTATCTTATGAAAATTAGCGAGGAATATATTTGTCATTTCAGGTAGCATTCTTCATTTGTACTATGTAATTGCATATGCAGAAGACAACTACAAATAGTACTCCAAAATGCAAAATAGGAAACATACAACAGGTTAAAAGGTTGAACAGCCATCTGTCTTCACACCTTACTCAAAAAAACCCAGACCACTAACCCAACATGTTGCTTTTAATCCATATAATTGTGTCATAGTACAGTGTTCCCTTAAAAGAGTCATCGTGGTGCAATGAGGCTCCATCTGTATTTGTAACACAAGGAAGCTGAATGACTAATGGATAATGGTAATCACAAAATTGCCAACCTTTCCACATGCCCTGCAGTGATGCCTTCTCCATGTCAATGTGAATTCACTTGTACAGATCATACACATAGTGGCTCTAGTATCAGGGATCCAGATTGGAGCCTTTGATCCCAGCGGACTGTCTTCTTCCTGTTTCTCTGGATCTGCCTGAGAGAACATAGGCAGAATACCATTACTGTCAGTGATGAGAAATAAGATTAATATTTATCAGTGATTACAGGTTAACTCTAATTATGTTGGAAAGCCTTCTCTGAGAAATTGTCATGATCTTAAATGTTATCTACTATTTCATCAGTGACCATTATAATGCAAACCTGAAGACAGAGCTGCAATTAATTAGTTCAAAAAGGCTGTGTGACTACCAAGCTTTACCAGCTTGCTTTTATCAATAGCTGCTGTATTTTAAAATCTTTTCATTTTATCTTTCTGTTTGCAAGACTGCTGAGAGAATTTGTGAAAGCTAGTTTAGGTTTTTTGGAAGAATATAATTTTAAATGTATCAAGTAGATAACATTATGAAATATCATTCTGTTCTATCATCTGTTCACTTATTTACCAGCATGTTTTGTTACTCATCATGGAATGCCTCTTGTTTCTCTAAACACCTGCAAAGAAACTTTAACTTCAGAAAGAAAACAAACCAACAATAATGGTGTGATATACCTCTTCAAGACTTTTGCTAGGATTAAACGTGATTCTCTTTTTTGTATATTCTTCAATTGACTTGGAGATAGCTTCTAACCACTCATCTCTTTCTGTAGCAGAACTGTTGCAGCAAAAAAAAACAAAACAAAACCAAAAAACATCAATTTATTATTATTAATATTAAAACTAAGAAGCAAGTGTTGATTAGAATTCCATTAGCTTTATTACACATGGACTGAGCTCTCTTGCAATTTCAGTTTCATAGACCATCTCCACTTCCTACTGAAACTGGCATTATTTCTTTAACTGTCTGAATGGTGTCAGTTATTTGTTTATTAATACAAAAAAGATTTCTATGTCTGTTATTACAATGGGGATTGCCTCCTTCACTTTCCTCCTTCCAAAATACCCTGTGATTGTTTCAAGGCTTGCATGTCATTGCTTCTCTCTTCTCCCTGGACCCTTGAATAGCTTGAGTAGCACTGGCGTAAATGGTGCTCCCACAACAAAGGCATGGGTTAGCCCTCTTGGGAGGACTCTGAAATTTCAGTAAGACTTTTTTTTCCCCCCTTCATTCTGTCTCAGATGCAGTTTCATAGAATCACGGAATGGTTTGGG